ACATCGTAACCATATACAGAAAACTCTCAACGCATCCAAATACAGAAAACTCTGCAAATACTGTCAATGCAACCAAATACAGAAAACGCAGCAAATACTGTCAACACAACCAAATACAGAAACGCTGCAAATACTCTCAACGCAACCAAATCACAAACACGCTGCAAATACTCACAACGCAACCAAATACAGAAAACGCTGCAAATACTCTCATTGCAACCAAATACAGGAACACGCTGCAAATACTCACAATGCAACCAAATACAGAAAACGTTGCAAATACTCACAACGCAGCCAAATACAGAAAATGCTACAAATATTCACAACGCAACCAAATACAGAAAACTCTCAACGCAACCAAATACAGAAAACGCTGCAAATACTCTCAACGCAACCAAATACAGAAAACGCTGCAAATACTCTCAACGCAACCAAATACAGAAAACGCTGCAAATACTCTCAACGCAACCAAATACAGAAAACGCTGCAAATACTCTCAACGCAACCAAATACAGAAAACGCTGCAAATACTCTCAACGCAACCAAATACAGAAAACGCTGCAAATACTCTCAACGCAACCAAATACAGAAAACGCTGCAAATACTCTCAACGCAACCAAATACAGAAAACGCTGCAAATACTCTCAACGCAACCAAATACAGAAAACGCTGCAAATACTCTCAACGCAACCAAATACAGAAAACGCTGCAAATACTCTCAACGCAACCAAATACAGAAAACGCTGCAAATACTCTCAACGCAACCAAATACAGAAAACGCTGCAAATACTCTCAACGCAACCAAATACAGAAAACGCTGCAAATACTCTCAACGCAACCAAATACAGAAAACGCTGCAAATACTCTCAACGCAACCAAATACAGAAAACGCTGCAAATACTCTCAACGCAACCAAATACAGAAAACGCTGCAAATACTCTCAACGCAACCAAATACAGAAAACGCTGCAAATACTCTCAACGCAACCAAATACAGAAAACGCTGCAAATACTCTCAACGCAACCAAATACAGAAAACGCTGCAAATACTCTCAACGCAACCAAATACAGAAAACGCTGCAAATACTCTCAACGCAACCAAATACAGAAAACGCTGCAAATACTCTCAACGCAACCAAATACAGAAAACGCTGCAAATACTCTCAACGCAACCAAATACAGAAAACGCTGCAAATACTCTCAACGCAACCAAATACAGAAAACGCTGCAAATACTCTCAACGCAACCAAATACAGAAAACGCTGCAAATACTCTCAACGCAACCAAATACAGAAAACGCTGCAAATACTCTCAACGCAACCAAATACAGAAAACGCTGCAAATACTCTCAACGCAACCAAATACAGAAAACGCTGCAAATACTCTCAACGCAACCAAATACAGAAAACGCTGCAAATACTCTCAACGCAACCAAATACAGAAAACGCTGCAAATACTCTCAACGCAACCAAATACAGAAAACGCTGCAAATACTCTCAACGCAACCAAATACAGAAAACGCTGCAAATACTCTCAACGCAACCAAATACAGAAAACGCTGCAAATACTCTCAACGCAACCAAATACAGAAAACGCTGCAAATACTCTCAACGCAACCAAATACAGAAAACGCTGCAAATACTCTCAACGCAACCAAATACAGAAAACGCTGCAAATACTCTCAACGCAACCAAATACAGAAAACGCTGCAAATACTCTCAACGCAACCAAATACAGAAAACGCTGCAAATACTCTCAACGCAACCAAATACAGAAAACGCTGCAAATACTCTCAACGCAACCAAATACAGAAAACGCTGCAAATACTCTCAACGCAACCAAATACAGAAAACGCTGCAAATACTCTCAACGCAACCAAATACAGAAAACGCTGCAAATACTCTCAACGCAACCAAATACAGAAAACGCTGCAAATACTCTCAACGCAACCAAATACAGAAAACGCTGCAAATACTCTCAACGCAACCAAATACAGAAAACGCTGCAAATACTCTCAACGCAACCAAATACAGAAAACGCTGCAAATACTCTCAACGCAACCAAATACAGAAAACGCTGCAAATACTCTCAACGCAACCAAATACAGAAAACGCTGCAAATACTCTCAACGCAACCAAATACAGAAAACGCTGCAAATACTCTCAACGCAACCAAATACAGAAAACGCTGCAAATACTCTCAACGCAACCAAATACAGAAAACGCTGCAAATACTCTCAACGCAACCAAATACAGAAAACGCTGCAAATACTCTCAACGCAACCAAATACAGAAAACGCTGCAAATACTCTCAACGCAACCAAATACAGAAAACGCTGCAAATACTCTCAACGCAACCAAATACAGAAAACGCTGCAAATACTCTCAACGCAACCAAATACAGAAAACGCTGCAAATACTCTCAACGCAACCAAATACAGAAAACGCTGCAAATACTCTCAACGCAACCAAATACAGAAAACGCTGCAAATACTCTCAACGCAACCAAATACAGAAAACGCTGCAAATACTCTCAACGCAACCAAATACAGAAAACGCTGCAAATACTCTCAACGCAACCAAATACAGAAAACGCTGCAAATACTCTCAACGCAACCAAATACAGAAAACGCTGCAAATACTCTCAACGCAACCAAATACAGAAAACGCTGCAAATACTCTCAACGCAACCAAATACAGAAAACGCTGCAAATACTCTCAACGCAACCAAATACAGAAAACGCTGCAAATACTCTCAACGCAACCAAATACAGAAAACGCTGCAAATACTCTCAACGCAACCAAATACAGAAAACGCTGCAAATACTCTCAACGCAACCAAATACAGAAAACGCTGCAAATACTCTCAACGCAACCAAATACAGAAAACGCTGCAAATACTCTCAACGCAACCAAATACAGAAAATGCTGCAAATACTCACAACGCAACCAAATACAGAAAACTTTCAATGCAACAATATACAGAAAACGCTACAAATACTCACAACGCAACCAAATACAGAAAACTCTCAACGCAACCAAATACAGAAAACGCTGCAAATACTCTCAACGCAACCAAATACAGAAAAAATACAGAAAACTCTCAACGCAACCAAATACAGAAAACTCTCAACGCAACCAAATACAGAAAATGCTGCAAATACCCACAATGCAACCAAATACTGACAACACAACCAAATATAGAAAACGCTGCAAATACTCTCAACGCAACCAAATACAGAAAACGCTGCAAATACTCACAACGCAACCAAATACAGAAAATGCTGTAAATAATCTCAACGCAACCATATACAGAAAACACTGCAAATACTTAGAATGCAACCAAATACAGAAAACGCTGCAAATACTCACAACGCAACCAAATACAGAAAATGCTGTAAATACTCTCAACGCAACCATATACAGAAAACACTGCAAATACTCACAATGCAACCAAATACAGAAAATGCTGTAAATACTCACAATGCAACCAAATACAGAAAACGCTGCAAATACTCTCAACGCAACCATATACAGAAAACACTGCAAATACTCACAACGCAACCAAATACAGAAAACGCTGCAAATACTCACAATGCAACCAAATACAGAAAATGTTGCAAATACTCACAATGCAACCAAATACAGAAAACGCTGAAAATACTCACAATGCAACCAAATACAGAAAACGCTGCAAATACTCACAATGCAACCAAATACAGAAAAACACTGCAAATATTCATGGCTAGTGCTGTCAGACGATTAATGACGATTAATTTCATCCCAAATAAAATGTCTTGTCTACATAATATACTGTATGTGTGTACTGTGTATATTTATTATGTATATATAAATACACACACATACAGCATATATGATACATTATTATATTATAAATGCATGTATGTGTATTTATATACATAATAAATATACACAGTACACACACATATATTATGTAAACAAAAACTTTTATTTCAGATGTGATTAATCACGATTAATCATTTGACAGCACTACTCACAATGCAACCAAATACAACACAACCATATACAGAAAAGTCTGCAAATACTCACAATACAACCAAATACAGAAACACATTGCAAATACAATAAATGCTGCAAATACTCACAACACAACCAAATACATTTGCAGCATGTGTTCTAAAAGTGATGGGTTTTCTTAATATGCTGGTGTTTTTTCAATTTGCATGTGTTTTCAAGTTGCAGCGCGTCAAGCTCTCTTGGCCACCATAATATTATAGGTAATTATATGAAATACAGAAACACGCTGCAAATACTCACAATGCAACCAAATACAGAAAACGCTGCAAATACTCACAACGCAGCCAAATACAGAAACACGCTGCAAATACTCACAATGCAACCAAATACAGAAAATGCTGCAAATACTCACAACGCAACCAAATACAGAAAACTCTCAACGCAACCAAATACAGAAAACGCTGCAAATATTCACAATGCAACCAAATACAGAAAACTCTCAACGCAACCAAATACAGAAAACGCTGCAAATACTCACAATGCAGCCAAATACAGAAAATGCTGCAAATACTCACAACGCAACCAAATACAGAAAACTCTGCAAATACTCACAACGCAACCAAATAATAATAACCATAATATTATAGGTAATTATATGAAATGTTTTGTATTTTCCACTGAACTATTAACAAAATTAACACATTTCACCTGCATTTTCTAGACATCCCAGTGATTCCAGACCTGGAGGAGGTTCAAGAGGAAGACCTCACCATGCAGATCGCTGCTCCACCCAGGTATCCTTCGGTCCAAACAATAATCATCGTCAAGAAAACAAACTCTATATGCTTCAAGATCTGCTGGATCTTGCTGAGAAACATAGTTAAGTTAGTTAAACTGTCTACATGCCAAAAACACTTGGATATGTGCAAACTGTTTTCTCGTGAATAATGGGTTTATCAATCAGTGTTCATGTCTATGGTTTGTCATAATATTTTGTCAAAGTTTGAATTCATTCTTAATTGGATTGATGGAGCTGAAGCGTCTTAGAATTTCATCCAGTCGTCTATCGGCATTTTAAAAGGAGGATGAAATAGTCTTTAGACGCCTTTGAGATGCTAAAAACAGACACGTGTTTATAGTTCTCTCTTGTCTGCAGTATCCAGGTGAACAGAGTTATGACCTACAGAGACCTGGACAACGACCTCATGAAGTACTCGGCTTTTCAGACCCTGGTGAGACACTCACCCATCATTACCCATCATCCCTTAACAACAAACACTGCTGCTTTGTGTAAATCAAGGATGTTGTAAGGAGCATAAAGTTACTGCCTAATTCATCCTTCACGTCCTACAGTGTCTGTTTTTTGGACTACCCTGGCATTATATTGCAATGCTTCAGTATTTTCAGTAATGGCTTGGCTAATGTTTTGTCTGTACTGAATGTTTCTCAGGATGGAGAGATTGACCTGAAGCTGCTCACGAAGGTTTTAGCCCCGGAGCAGGAGGTGAGAGAGGTGAGCGCTGCCAGTAAATATAGAGTCTGTCCGGCTCTTTCTAGGCCGTGTAAGAGGGTCAGACAACAGATTTATGAAGTCACCAGCAGCATTCTTCATCTCATACTGTCCCACAATGTGTTACAGGACAGTTCACCCAGATATGAGTGCTCTGTCTTCATTTACTCGCCCTCATGTCATTCCAAACTCATATGACTTTATTCTATTCTCTCATATACTATATTTTGAAGAACCTTCACTCTTCTATATAAAATGACAGTCCAAAATAATAATAATAAAAGCACCATATATTTAAATGGTTAAAAGAGAAATCATAATTTTAACCAATAGACTCAAAATAAAAACTGAAAACAACATGTTTGACCCAGTATTGTAAAACCTTTTTAACTAAAACTGCAACTCTTAAAAGCCATTCCATCATTTAAAAAGAGCTTAAATAGAACAAAAGATAAATATTAGATGAAAAACTGAAAAAAAAGAATTGTTGTTATTGAAAAAATTGTGATTTTTTAAAATAATAGTGAACAATTAACATAAATGACAAAAGCACATTTCAAAAATTCTTAAACTTTAACTACAATTAAAATAGCATTTATAAAATAAAATTAATAAATAGAGTAAAAATACAAGCAGTAATAAAAGCTATAATAAAAATTCAAAAAGTTATAATAGTGCGTGTGTTTGTATTTATATGTAAAATACTAAAATAACATAATAACACTGCTTTACACTGTTTTTCACTGTAAATCAATACAGTGTGAACATTTTTAAGTGATGACAAATTAATAGTTTTGAATCAAATTAGTTTGAATGTCAAAGATATTTTGAAGAACCCTCTCTCTTTTATATACATTGACATTATTTAACACCAAAATGATTAATCAAAATATTTTTTATAAAGCACTATAGAAGTACATAATGCGTACTATATTCTAAGTGTGAGGAAGGGAAATATGGCACACGAGTCATAAAATCTACTTTATTCCTACATTTTTCAATAATTTTGGAGCTCGACAGACATGCTAATTATGAACTGTGTGGAAATAAGATACATAAAGATTTGTCAGAAAATCTCCTTTTGTGTTCCTCGACACGAGTGTAAGTGAATGCGGACAGAAGCTTCGTGTTGAGGTGAACTGTTGCTTTAAATGCACTGTATTTCTCCTGCTCTCTCTGTGAAGCTGCTGTGATGGTTTGGTGGTGTCTGTGCAGGAGGACGTGGGCTGGGATTGGGATCATCTGTTCACCGAGGTCTCCTCTGAGCTCCAGACGGAATGGGATCAAGGAGAGCGGGAAGATCAGTCTCCGCTTCCTGTGGCCTGAGGATGGATTTACACCTCATGTGCTCAGATAGGAAAATATTGTTCATATTGAATGTGTTTCTTGACGTGTCATTGCTTACGCTCTGTGTGTTTCTCATTAAGGTTAACCTTGCAAACCCAGAAACATTGCTTTTCTTAACTGGATCAATCTGGAGACATTTGTCACCAAAATCCAAGGTTAATGAGCAGGGAAACTAAAATCCAGTTGATTGAGTTAAAATGAACTTTGCACATCCGAGCAAGCCGGCCTTATCGTTATTGACCACAGCATCGACCATCTGAGCTCGTCCTGTTCTCATGAGCTTCATTCCTGCATTTCTATCACACCGTGTGGATTAACGTGATAACCTGCTTCATTTAAGCCAGAATATCAAATATATGTGTTTAAATGTCACTATTTGAAAAATGCACGTCTCATGAAATCAGTAGTTAAAACTGAAATGTTTCATTTTTTTTTTTTGATGATAATCAGTATGTGTCTTGTATACGATGTATTTGTTTTGACAGCTTTTCTCAATCGATTTGACACTTTTCTCCAATGCAATGGACTTGTTCTCAAAACATTTAACACATTTAATCACAAAATGTTTTTTCTAGTAATGCAATTATTAAAATTAAATATTAACATCAAATCTATAGGCGTGTTATCTATTGATTATAAAACACATTCAGCTGTAGATGCACAAATATGCTAATGAAAATACATGTTTATTGCAATTCTTCAAAAGGAAGTTTTGTTTTATATATGTTGTGTATATCTAAACGAAATAAAAATTGTTATCCAACACCTGCTATCACCCATGAGAAAAAACTAATTATCCCTTTAACTTAAAATCTGTTTGTGCCACCTTTAGCAGCAAGAACCGCAAGCTAACTTTTCTGATAACTACAGATCAGTCTTTTACAGCACAGTGGTGGATATATATACTGTATATAAATTAAAGCAAAATAGAAATATTAAGAAAACTAATGCAAAAGCACGTAAAATTGCTCAAACTTAAACTATGATAAAAAATAAAAGATAATTTAATAGTATAATAGTTTATAAATAATACTAAAATAACACATTTTGTCACTATAAATGAACACAGTGTGAACACTTTTAATGTTTTTAAAAAGTTTTTATGTTTTAATAATGACAGATGAATAGCTTAATCGTAAATCATTATGGGAGAAAAAAAACTTAACTTATTTGAGCGAGTTGCCAAGGCAAGGTTGAAATACTAAAACAAGTAAACCTAAATATAGAAAACCTACTTAAAGGAGACATATTATGTCCTTTTTACAATATGTAATATAAGTCTCTGGTGTCCCCAGAGTGTGTCTGTGAAGTTTCAGCTCAAAATTCTCCACAGATCATTTATACTATCATTTTGAAAATGCCTATTTTGAGTGGAAGCAGAAACACGCTGTTTTTCGGGCCTGTCTCTTTAAATGCAAATGAGCTGCTGCTCCCCGCCCCCTTTTCCAGAATAGAGCTGTGCCATTACAGCTCGTATCTGCTAAAAACATATGTTTTGGTTCTGATTATCATGTTTATCGTGCTGAAATCATGCGTTTTAAACTACATGAGCTTAAACTTCTGATATATGGTTTTCTGAGCGCACACATCTGAAGCACACGCACAGAAAGCGGCTGTCACAGCATGTGAGCACTAAACTAAGTTCTCATTCACACAAGTTTACGTTAAACACACGAGTTACAAAAACAGTGGGTTATGTCTGTGAAGGTAAACTGCTGGGAAATAAATCGCTTGTTTATTTTAGATCTGTGTGGCAGCAGCAATATACAGTAAATAAATCAATAAATGCACTGCTCTGTCGTCTCCTCTGAGGCTGGGACTCTAAACAGTGTTCTGTGCTCGTCTGTGCAGCCAAACACAGAACAGTTAGTGTGTTTTGCTCAAACTTTCTCCATGGCATTAGAGCTGCTACACCGTAGTCGCTTGCGAAAACACAATGGCGGCGCCGTGGGTAGAAACTTACAGATTAAGGGGTGGTAATATTATAATGAGATCCCTTTGCAACGTCACCAAGTGAGCGAAATCAGACGCGCTCATTTTCTCAGACGCTTGCAGAAAAAGCCTTCCCAAAACAAAGTTACTGGGTTAATCTTTTTCATGTTTCCTTGGTTGGTAGATTCACCAGGGACCTGATTATAGCACTTAAAACCTGGAAAAGTCTGATTTTCTTTAAATAAAAAAAAAAATCAAAATTGCTAAAACTTTAATTAAAATGTAAACCAAGTATAAAATGTTATTCTTTTTCCAAATATACTATAATAATATATCAAAGGGTAGTAAGTAACTTTGCAACTACGTGTCAACTAGCAGTCATTAGAGTATTAGTAGACTGGCTGCTTAATATCTGCTAACACTTTATTTTGATGCGTCCACAACATACTGACTATCAGAAACTTTGCAAGTATATGTCAACTTATTCGACTAACCCTAAACCTAACCTCTGAGAGATAGTAGACTTGTAGTTGCAAACTAATGAGAATTAGTTGACATGTAGTTGCAAAGTTACTTGTAGTTAGTAGAATGTCTAAAGTTGACTATCAAAATAAAGTGTAACCAATCAAAGATACTAAACTAACACTGGCTCAAGGTCTAGCACAACTTTCAAGCGTGATGCAAGACGTTTCTCAAGAACCTGTGATGTACATGAATACATCCGCACACACAGAAACACACTCTTGCTGTACTTTGTCTCTGTCTCTCTCCTCACATGAGCTTTTTTGGGCTCTTTTAATGAATTCTGCCCATATGCCCCGAGCAGCTGCCGCGATGCCCCTTCCTCCCCCCCCCGCCGAGCTGTGAAGTGCCCATCCATGTACAGACAACCTCTAGCTGTCTCTCTCAGGGATGCCAGCGCCTCACAGCCAGTTTAGGAGGCGGCCACTCAGATTAAAGCCTTGTGATAGCGGGTAACTGACCCGCCTCAACGCTTGACGTGGATGCATAAAAAGTTGCAAAGCGATGCGAGTCCAGAGATCAGAGCGTCATCATCTGCAAGTCATATCGGATGAGAACCTGATATACAGTGAAGCTACACAGCATCTGGGCCAGAAACATACTTCATGCAAAAAGTAGCGCTGTCAAGCAAATACAATTTTAAAATCTGATTAATTACATAATTTGCCAGCTAATTAATCACAAATTTATCGCGAATTTTTTCTCTCCAAAAAAGATCATTTGAAGTCATTATTGTGTTAAATGAGAACAGTATTGAATAGACATGGCAAAAAAAAGTAGCTTTAAAATATTTTGATTCAACATAGAATTTGTTGCACAAATATTTAAGGCTACAATGAGGCTGTGACATTGTTTTCAGAAGCTGCATTTAAAGTGGAATTTAGGTTGGTATTTACACAGACTGTTCAGAGGTGACATGAATGCATTTATACTGCAATTACAATTGCATAAATAATGCTATGACATTAGTGGTCTAAATATGAAACTAAATCCAAGTTGCTGTCTTAATGAGCGAGTCATTCGGTCATCATTCAACCAATTCAAACGGCGAATTCATTCAGAAACAAAGCAAGTGACTGTTTTTATGAATGAGTCACTATATCATTGACCCACTTGATTCACTCAAAAAACATGGATTCATTCAGTAGCGAATCACTGCTGGGTTGATCAGAATCACATAAAAGTTCTGCTGTGGCTTTGATTGGAGCCATTTTCATTTGTGAAACTGAGCAAAAATCATGCAGATATTCAGGAAAACAGCACTCTTGCTGGTATGATATTGTTTAACTATATTATATGATATAAAACCATACAATGTCATTTCATGCCCTGATACCTTGAATTTTAGGGGTATATCGCTGCATTATAAACACATCAGTGTATGATGACGTACAGGTCTGGGATAGGCGACTGCATTAAACGCGTTAATCATTTTAACGCTTTTTTTTTCGCAAGCCAGGCTTATTAAAAATACGTGCTTGTGGTATTGTTTCTACAAAACTGATATTACATACCTATTGCATGTTTCACGGTAAAGTGAAATGTCAAGTGAGAGGCGCTAAAAAGCGTGATCAATGTGACCATCGCCACATTTTTATTACATTGGTTCATAAATGTCCGAGGAGTGTCGCTACAAGGTAAAGCCCGATGGTGTTAACGAATGCAAAAGTGATAGAAAAACACACCTGCTGATGCAACCGTGCTATATAACTTCCTTCTATGCGGATTTTGTCAAACTGTAGTTTTGTCGATTTGTACCAGAGCGCTTCACTTTACAAGTACAACACCATATCGTGTCGGCTACCAAGAAAATCCATACACGTGAAGCTGTATATGTGACGCTAATGTTCAGTAGTATCAGTTTTGAAATCTCACAGCATGTTAAAATTGTTTTAAAGTGCAAAGAATTGTGCAAAAATTAGGCTTTCTTAATCGAAACCGACCCTGTAAGCAAACGTTGTGGGAGTTTTACTGCCTCTAGTGTTCATTTCAACTGGAAACATCAGCGATTCTTACATATAGGTATGCTTTTTCGATTTTGGAGAAATGTAGGTAGAGGCATGTATTTCCAATGAGCCTGAGTAGCATTATTCACACTTTACACCTGTTCTTGCATTACTTTCCATTTCATCACTAAGCCCTCTTATTATTCAACCACCTGTTTTTACCCTCCAATCAATTCCTGATGAATGCAATCAAGTTCTGTCTTGGATTCAGGTTGACTTTAAAATAAATGACACTTGCTTTGATTTCCTTGATGTAATGCAATGGCATACTGAGGATTCGAAGCGTGACAAATACTTTCTCGTGGCTGCAGTGTAATAAACACTCATATAACAGTGCAGTGCTCCAGCGTCCGGCAGGGTCTGAGAGCTGTGACTGGCGTTCTGTAGCGAAGCGAAGCGTGAGGTTGATCACACACCTGCTGCAGTTCAGCTTCCTTTGGCATCTGCGGCCGCTGCCATTCTCCTTCCTGTGTGTCAAGCCTCTCCTCCTTCCTGGCTTCCGGGGTCGGCCGCTCCATCTGTCCAGAGCCGACGGGGGTCCGGGCAGCCCTACAGAGGCGTGCTGAGAGGGTCCCGGACCCTTGTGGTGCGTCTGCCGGGGTCTCTCTGTGTTCCTCTAAATCCAAACACTTCCATCGCGAGATTCCTGTGCCAGCTGGCTGGACTCACCTCCTAAAACCAGCGAGGTAACGTCCACCTCCACGTCTGCTGCTGTCGCTCTCCTTACTGACTATCCTTCAAAGCTCACCAATAACTAATCAAGCACTTCCAAGTGACTTCATCAGGTTAATACATGTTTGGGTTTCAAATGAAGTGCCAAGGGATTGTAATTTTTTTGAATTATTTAGTATTTTGTTTTAGTTTTGTGTGAGAGAATGCTGTTGACAATAGTAGTTATCTTACAATAAGCCATAATCCCTCACACAACCACGTTTTTATGCCACATGATGGAAATAGTGTTCATTTTCTTCACATTAACATTGAGTTAATGTATATAAGCCCATTTATTTATTCATTTCCATCACATAAGAAAAAAATGCTTTGGT